CCCAGCATAGGAGCGCTGTGTCGCGTCGCAGTTTCCAGTTTCATCATCGCCACGCGCCCTCTGGATGTTACGACCTCTATCTCTCATCGCAGACGACGCCACCGAGGCCGCGGATACCGATGGCACTTCCACTGGGAACGTTTCACCACCGACACGCATTTCCGATGTTCGCCGGGCCTCGGGCGGCGGCGAGCACCCGCTGCTTCCGGGAGCGGATCACTCCGCAGGGGGCGCGCGGCGAGCAGGTGGCGCGGGCAGCGGAGGCAAACGCAGATCTGCCCATCGTGGCCGACTACCGGTTGAACCAGCAGCCGCACTCTGGGCATCGCTCACCCGCACAGCACCACCTGATGCCCAGGCACCACCACTGACTGAGTCAGCAGCGGCCCTGGGCATACCCATGCTAATCGGGCTGGGCTCGCCCGTTGAGGCAGCGCCACTGGCTGCGCCAGCAGCGGCCTCAGCGCCCGCCGCACTCATTTGATCAGTCCAGCCAGCTGTTGAATTTCCGTCATCATCGACGCCCACGCGGCCCGCATCGTCGGCTGAGCCGACAGCGGGCCTTCCCTGATCTCAGCAAGCACGGACGACACCAAATGCGACTGTGGCAGCACTTTCGTCGCACCTGGACGTCATCTGGCCCCACAGTGCGGCGTTGTCACGCGATGTCTACTCGGCCCAGTTGAACCGAGCACCAAGTTCCGCAATGCACGCGTGCATCGCGGGAACGAGGGAACGCACTTGGGACCTGAGGTTTAACCCCAAGTCCTCAATGTACGCCTCGACCAAGTCTGAGCGTTGCACTGCCTGCCGCTCTGATTTCTCCGCCGGGTGCCCAAGCGTCAATCCGCCTCTGTTTTGGTCACTGATCAGCTCCGAACGGAACCTCATCCTCAGAGCCCCCATCAGGAAAAGCTACAAGGCGGCCCTCCGAAATGCATTTGGCGACAAACTCCCTGATTATCGAAAGCAACCTGAAGAACCGCAGCGCTAAGGGGAACTTGGTTTTTTCCAGGCGCGATCAGCACATTACTTGAGGTATTTCGAAGGTTCGCGACTCTCGTTGCTGGTGCCCGCCTCTTTAACGCATTCCATCATACACTGGACAGACACGCTCTTGGCTTGGCACTCGGACGCGAGAACACAAATAGCCGCAGCAGGATTTCCTGAATCAGATGGCGGCTGGTACTCAGGACCTTCTGACTCACGGATGTCGACCAGTTTTCCGCCCGGACGGCCCACCCCACATCGCCGGTCGCATGCGCGGTAGCGATGGCAGCGAGAGCGAACGGTGACAACACCTTTTCGTCTTCACTATCCTCAGGGCGGGGCCCAAACATGACCAGTTCAAGTGGTTGAACCACCTGAGGGTCAGCTGGATGCTCCCAAGACAGCGGTCGACCCTCTCCCAGTTCACGAGTGAGCCTAGCCCACCGGACAACAGATCTGCCTGCGCGACGAGGCCCATCCTCAAATTTACCCACGCCCGCAAGCGCTTTATCCATATGCGTTGCAGGACTCTGGGCATGGGATCTCGGCCGACCGGCTGCATCTGCTGTGCCGAAATGGGCGGCGCGGACGCATGTGGGCACCGCCACGGGCGCCTTCGGCGGAGCTCCACATGGGGCCACGAAACGTGTGATGGGAGTGCCGACAGGGGTGGCGCAGACGCATGTGGGCACCGCCACTGGGGCCTTCGATGGAGCTCCCTATGGGGCCACGAAACGGGCACCGCCACTGGGGCCTTCGGAGGAGCGCCCTCTGTGGCCACGAAACGTGAGAGCGATGTGCCGAAATTGGTAGCGCAGACGCATGTGGGCACCGCCGCTGGGGCCTTTGGTGGAGATCCCTGTGGGGCCACGAAACGTGCAAGGCGTGTGCCGACATGGGTGGGGCGGACGCACGGGGGGACCGCCACTGGGGCCCTCGGTGGAGCTCCTTATGGGGGCACGAAACACGTGAGGGGTGTGCCGAAAAAGGGTGGCGATGATGGTGATGGTGACGGCGATGATGATGATGATGATGATGATGATGATGATGATGATGATGATGATGATGATGATGATGATGATGATGATGATGATCATGATGATGATGATGATGATGATGATGATGATGATGGTGATGGTGATGGTGATGGTGATGGTGATGATGATCATCATCATCATGGTGATGATGATGATGATTATGATAAGGATGATGATGATGATGATGATGATGATGATGGTGATGATGATGGTGATGATGAGGATGATGATGATAGTGGTGATTATGCGGACGGTGGTCACGATGAGGGTGATGGGATGATGTGATGGCGGGGTGATGATGATAATGGTGACAATGATAATTGTGGTGATGATGGGGGGAGGTAGGCGGGGGAAGAGGAGGATAGAAGAAGAGGTGGCGTGGGGCGCTGTCTCTTCAAAACGAGGACCCAGCGCCACAGGATGGTCAGGAAAAAAATCAACGTGTTTGTTATCATCATGAACGTGTTGTCGCCCACGTCGCGACATGCGTGCCAGGAATGGGATGGGGATCTCATCCCGCGCGAGGGGGCCGAAGGTCGTTGTCTCCGTGGCGCCACGCCCACGTTTCCGGCGAGTTGAGTTCCAAGTTCGGCGTGGTGCACCTATTCTGCACGCCACATCGTCGACGCGCGAGCGAACGAAACTGTGGCCATCGCCGCGGCGCCGCGCAACTGTCGCTTGAAAGCTGCGCCCCCGCCCCGGTGCGGCGCATGCGGATGTGCATGCCTCGCTCGCCAAGTTCGGGGGCCCCGCGCGAGCGGCCGACTTGCCGCGCTCGCCCACGCTGAGCACATGTCGCTCGGAAGCGGCGGACTCGCGCGGGTGCGGCGCGTGTTTCGTGCGCCGAGTCCGCAGGAGCGCGGCAGCGGCAGCACAGAGCCACGCGAGAGAGTGGGCGACGTGCCGTCCTCGCCAGCGCGCCGCGCAGGCTGCGCACGACAGCAGCGCTTGCTGCTTCGGTGCGGCGCGTGCTTCGTCTGCGCCGCGCTCGTCGGAAGTGTTGTTATTCCCGCCACCCTTGCGCGCCCCGCGTAGTTTTTTCCCTTCCGCAGAGTCGTCGGCAGCGGGACAGGGCGCGAGCGCCTTCCGTCTGCTAGGTGGGGACACGTGCCAGTCCAAAGATCAAACGGCTTGTTATGTTCTGGGAAGGAGGGGGGGGGGGGCATGGGCGGTTGTTATGTTCTGGGAAGGAGGGGGGGGGGGGGCATGGGCGGGACCCGCTGACCCGTTCGGCATTGCAAGCTTGATCCCTCTTCCTGATCCTAACCTTCATGACTTTCCCTCCCCCATCCCCCGCTCCCACACCCTCCTCACCCACCTGCGCAATCTACTCCTCATCCTCATCCTCATCCTCATCCTCAGCCTCATCATCATCATCATCATCATCATCATCATCATCATCATCATCATCATCATCATCATCATCATCATCATCATCATCAGCATCATCATCATCATCATCATCATCATCATCATCATCATCATCATCATCATCATCATCATCATCACCATCATCATCATAGTCATCGTCGTCGTCATCGTCATCGTCATCGACATCATAATGATAAAAAGCATCATCATCATCATCATCATCATCATCATCATCGTCATCATTATCATCATCACCATCATCAGCATCATCATAATCACCACTACCACCACCACCACCACCATCATCATCATCATCATCATCATCATCATCAGCATCGTCATCATCATCATCATCGTCATCATCATCTTCAGCCTGATCATCATCATCAGCATCATCAGCAGCAGCATCATCAGCATCATCATAACCCTTATCACCATCATCGTCATCATCATCAGCATCATCGTCATTGTCATTATCATCGGCAGCATCATCGTCATCATCATCATCAACATCATCATTATTATTACCATCATCAGCAGCATCATCGTCATCATCAGCAGCATCATCATGAGCAGCAGCAGCAGCATCAGCAGCAGCATCATCTTCATCGTCGTCGTCCTAGTCGTCGTCGTCGTCGAAATCATCATCACCATCAGCATCGTCATCATCATCAAAATCCTCATCAACATCATTATCATAATCGTCATCAGCGTCGTCATCATCAGCAGCAACATGATCATCACCATCCTCTTCAACACCATCATCAGAAGAAGCATGTTCACCATCATCACCACCAGCATCATCATCGTCATTAGCATCATCATCATCGTCGTCAATATCATCATCAACGTCATCACTGTCACCATAATCACCCACATTATCATAATAATCATCAGTATCATCATCATGATCATCATCATCGGCAGAAGCACTATCATCCTCATCATCATCATCATTCGCATCATCATCATCGTCATCGTCATCGTCATCACCATCATCAGCAGCAACAACCACAACATCATCATCCTCATCCTCATCCTCATACCCTTTCCTCCCCTCTAATCTCCTCTCATATCATCTCCTCTCCTCTTCCCCTTCCTCCTACTCCTCCGCATTCTCTTTCATCCCTCCCTCTCTCCTCTTCAGCATCCGTCCTCCCTGATCCCTCCTCCCTAGGTTCCTCCCGCATCCTCCATCCTCCCATCGTCCATGCTTCTCCCAGATCATCCTCCTCCTCATCATCATCCTCCTTCCCCCTTCCTGGCGGGGGGGTTGGGGCGGGGGCACCAAGGGTGGGGAGGTGAAAGATTGCGGCGCATTGGTTGATGCGACCAGGGCCCGTGATCCCTCATTCGCTGTTTGCCGATGGAGGCTGGGTCGTCTGGGTAGTTGTCCACCGGCACTTCATCAGGACGGGCGGGGTCAGGATCCAGGTAGCTGGCGAAGAGCTGATGCAGCCACTCGATCCTCGCCATGGACATACCGGTCAGCTCGCAGAGCTTATCATAGCTCGGTTTCATGTTCGACGGGGCAACCGTCATGATTCGCATCTCGTCCATCTTGAGGTGCTCCATCTCACCCTGGGACTCGGCGCGCCGTTCCAGCTCGTCGGCGATCTTCAGCTTCAGCGGCATGAAGCCCACGGGCGGCACCATCACCTTCTCGAGGATCTCGCGCTCCACCACTCCGTCGGCCAGCTCCGCGTTGTGCACCTCCTGCAGGAAGACCCACGCGTTGGCCTTGTCGGCCGTCCACCACCACTCTTTCCCGTCGCGGGGTACATCCCTGTGCTCCAGCAGCCCGAGGAGCTGCAGCAGCTCCTGCAGCAGCTGGACGTGCTCCCCCTTCGGGGGCACCTCGAACTCGTAGCCGGCGTCCTTGGGGCGCACGTCATCACCCGTCAGTATCTTGCTCTCGTGGAGGATGAGACCCAGGTTCTCGTCCTCCTTGAGGCGGGCGTAGAGCTCCTCGTAGGCGGACATCTGCTGCTGATACTCTAGCTGCTTCGCCTGCTGGGCCTCCAGCAGCTTCGCCTGCGCCTCCGCCCGGCGAGACCGCTCCTCGGCCTCCTCCTTCTTGCGCTGGTCGCCGCGCTGCAGGGCCGAATACGGCACAACGTCGTGGGACGCCAGCACGCTGGAGAACGTGCTCCAGAACGCCTCCCAGCTCACCGCGCTGGACTTCTCGAAGAACGACGACCTCGAGCGCATCCGCGAGCTCCTGATCTCGGCCGCCCCCTTCATGTCCCCAGCCGCCCCGGCCAGTCTCGTCTTGGCCCCGAAGTCCTTGGCCATGACCCTGTGGCCTGCGAGGAGTCCCTCGACCTTCAGCTGCTCGTCGATCGCCTTGAGGACGTTCGGGAGATCCTTCGTGGCTCGATCTTCCATTGACGCTACGGCAACCAGGCGGGAGACGGGCGACCTCTCAGACCTCGACGACTTTGGCGCGAGTGAGCTCGTCGAGGCCTGGAAATGCGCCCGTCTCCTCCCGCTGGTGGGGTTCATGAAGTCTCGGGCCCCGAATCCTCTGTCTGGACAACCCCGCGCAGCACGAATCCTGAAAAGGTTTCCATCACTTCCAGCTTCCTCCGCATCATCTCCCGCCGCCCGTGCTCGAAGTCCGCCCAGTCGTGAAAGCTCTGGTACAGCTCCTTCCTCCGAGGCGTCCTCGCACACTTGGGGTGACGCCGCAGCAGCTGCTGCGCGAGATACGTGAGCGGATTGAAGCGCTCCCGAACCTTTGGGTCCAGATCCTCACCCTGATCGCCCATCCTGGACACCTGCCGGCAGAGCGCGTCCAGCGACTGAGCCAGCACGGGCATCAGCGCCTCGTTCAGGTAGATGTCAAAATCCACCGGCTCGGGCGAGTCCTGCGACGTCCCGACGCGGCTGCGCTGGCTGCGCTGGCCCTTGAGCTCCTCGGCGAAAGAATTGGATGACCTGCGATCGGCCATCGGCGTTGCCATCATCCCCCGCCTCATCCTACTTCTCTTCAGCATCATGCCTCCTCCTCCTCCTCACCGCATTATCATCAGCAGCATCATCATCAACATCATCATCGTCGTCATCATCGTCATCATCGTCGTCGACATTATCATCATGACCATCATCACCATCATCATTACCACCATGGTCATCATCATCGACATTATCAGCATCACCCTCATCATCAACAACCTCATCACCATCACCATCACCATCACCATCACCATCATCATCATCATCATCATCATCATCATCATCATCATCATCATCATCATCATCATCATCATCATCGACGTCATCATCAGCAGCAGCATCAGCCTAATCATCATCTTCCTCATCCTCGTTATCTTTACCATCACCATCTTCATCTGCAGCATCAACATCAGCATCAGCACCCAGTCACCATCGCCACCACCAGTATCATTCTCCTCCCACCCACTCAGCCCCACGCACCACGACAACGCGCCGCCGTACACCATCCACCCACACATCCTGTCCTCCTTCTCGTCCACATCCCCGCAACCCCCCTCCCCCTGCTCCTCGCCTCTTGACCCCCATCCCCCTCCTCCTCATCCTCACCTCCTACTCCTCCCACCTCCTCCTCATCATCCTCCCGCTCCTCCTCATTCTCCTCAGCGATTTCGCGCCCAAGCGGCCCACCTTGCACGGGGCACACGAGGGCGGTCCGTGCGCTAAATTCGGAGTGGTCATACGCGCAGGAGCCACCATCGAAAGGCGTGGTGTCCAACGTCATCGGCTGCCATACTCACACAGGGTGCGCACGCGTCCGCCGGGAGTAGTCGGTCCCGCTTCCCCTTCCTCGTCTTTCTCCCCCTTGTCGTCGTCCCCCTGGAGAGCAGCAGCGGCAGCCACCGTGGCGCGGCTGCACGAGTGCAGACCAGGAGCAGTGAGCGACGGAGCAGCCAGAACGGCGGGAGTAGTTCATGCAGGAGGGGATGCGAGTGGCAGTGCACGTAGTGATTACGAAAAAGCGACGCGAGAGCCAGTCAGCAGCTACAGATGAGGCCAACTCCTCCGAAGATGTGGGCAGGAACAGTGCATACGGCCATTACGAGACACCGTGGCGGCTACAACGCTAGGATCAGCTCGTGCGTGAAGGCGCGCAGTGACAGTCGACACCGTCGTTATAAGAAGGTGGCTGAAGAGCCACGCATCGGCTACAGTGTTGGGATCAGCTCGTGTGAGAACGTGCGGGCCGACATCATCAGCACCAACGCTGGGATGAGATCGTGCGAGAATGTGCAAGCCGAGATCAGCTACGAACCTGGGATCAGATCTTGTAAGAATTGCGGGAGCGTGCGTGCCGACGGTATCAGCATCAACGCTGGGATTAGTTCGCTCGAGTACGAGCGAACCAAATATACTACAATGCTTGATTAGTTCGTGCGAGCGAGGCGGGAGAGAGCGAGCCGACATCATCAGCACCAACGCTGGGATGAGTTCGGGCGAGAAACTGCGAGCTTGCATCAGCAGCTACAATGCCGGGAGCGCGCGAGCCGACGTCATCCGTACCAAGGGCTGGAAGTAGTTCGTCCGATAATGCGCGAGCCGACATCATCAGCGACAATTCTGGGGCTGGGTCGTGCGAGAAATGCGCGGACGGTGCGAGACAACGTCATCAGCAAGAACTCTGAGATGAAATCGTGCGATAATGTGCGAGCAGACATCCTCAGCTACAATGCTAGCCAGCGTAGAACCCAAAGAGTGTGTTTCTAACACAGTGTGTTGTGCAATACATGTGAAGAGATATATGTTCTGCAATATATGTGGTGTAATCGATGCGGTGCAGTAGATGTATACACATTTGTATGTGTTCTCAATATATGACAAGGCCTGAACAACAGTGCAACGCAATGCCAAACAATGCAAAGCAACGCACAGCAATGCAGAGAAACGCAGAGCAACGCAAAGGAGCACATAGCAACGCAAAGCAGCGCAAAACCACGCGACTAATGCAAAGCACTGCGCAGCAATGAGCAGCAACGCGAAGCAGGAGGGAGGAGGGGAGAGTGCACATGAGTGCACAGCAAAGCGATCCTACGCACTGCGTAGCTTCGCAAAGGCATTCAAAGCAATGTGCAGCACGGAGAAGCGGTGCAGAGCAACGCATGGTACGCCGTAGTAATGTCCAGGTGGTTACCGTGCGCTGCGGTGGTCACCGGATAGCTCTGGAGCTGAGTCGAGCTGCTGCTAGGCGTGCTGTCGTGTACGCAAGCGCTGTGGCACGCAGGGCAATCACCAGAAAATCGCGCACCTTGTCATTCTCCTCCTCGTCCGCTTCCCCCTCCCTCCCCCTCCCTTGTGCGCCATGCAATTAAGCACAACGCAAAGCAATTCAAAGAAATGCACTGCGAGGCAAAGCAACGCAAATCAATGCAAACCAATGCAAAAAAAACACAAAATAATGCAAAGCAACGCAGTGAAATGCAAAGTCACACCGAGCAGCACAAAGCCACGAGAACAAGTGGCAGCAACGCAAAGCAGGAGGGAGGAGAAGAGAGGGACTGCAAAGCAAAGCTTTGCTACAACCCCGTGCGGAAAGCAATTGGCGTTTGGTGAGCCCCCCGGCCCCCCCTCATTTCAATGTTGACCGTGCGACCGGCGAAGTTCGAAAAAACAAATCGGCACCGCATTGAACGTTGAAATTGGGCGGGTGTGTGCGTATAGAAAAACAGCAGTTGCTTTTCGCACGGGGCTGAAGAGCATTGAGAGAAGAAGGCAACGACGAAGACGACGATGATGATGATGATCGTGGGGATGATGATGATGATGATGCTGATGATGATGATGATGATGATGATGACGATGACGATGACAATGATGATGATGATGATGATGATGATGATGATGATGATGATGATGATGATGATGATGATGATGATGGTGATGGTGACGATGATGATGATGATGATGATGATGATGATGATGATGATGATGATGATGATGACAATGTTTTGGGGAGTGCGGAAGGTTTGGGAGGGTCGTGAGGGTTCTGGCGATTTTTGGGGGAGTGCAGAGGATTCAGGAGGGATGGGAGTGTTCCAAAGGTTTTCGGAGGAGTGCGAAGGGTTGCGGATGGATGGGAGGTTCTGCAGGTTTTCGGAGGAGTGCGGAGGAGCGTCGAGGAATGGGACAGTTTCGAAGGTTTGTGGGAGCAGTGCGGACGGTTCAGGAGGGGTGGGAGGGGTCCAGAGGTTTGGGAGGAGCGCGGAAGAGTGAAATCATAATTGCCTGCCATTACCTGGTGTATTACCCGTCAATTCTGATTCCAATTACCAGCCTCTGCTCGTTCGAACAAAAGGTTATAATGTTTAGTTGCTCCTGATGAACCTAGTAATAATAAGAACCATAGACAATAATAACAATAACAATAACAATAACGGTAGCAATAATACGGAAAATAATAGTAATCAGAAATGCGGCGGGAAATTCGTGAAAAATCGGCAAGTAATAGACCGGGTTTTCCCCTGGCCGCCCCATCATCTCCCTGCCCTTCCCTATAGTAAGCATGCTAGATAAGAAATCGACCTAACAGCAGGCACCCCGCGGAGATTTCTTATCTCTTGATGGCCCAGGGGACCCATGGAAGCCCCGAGGCACCTCAGAAACTTCAAAGATCGACGGCAAGTGTGGCCGTAGGTTTCTTTGAGCAAGGATTGTTATCGCATGTGTGTGCTGCGTGTTTGTCAATGCTCTGGAGCGTGAAACATATCCTCCTCCTCGTAATCGTCGTCCTTCTTTCCTCCTGCGTCGCCGTCATCCGTTGATTTCTTCCTCGTCGTGCCTCGTCGTGGTCGTCACCGTCGTCTTCCTCTCCTCATTCTCTTCAAATCCGTGCGAAAAGCAACTGACGTTTGATGAGCCCACCAGGCCCCCCTTTCAGTGTTGATCGTGCGACCGGCGAAGTTCGAAAAACAAATCGGCACCGCATTAAACGTTCAAATTGGGTGGGTGGGTGCATCTGTGTGCGTGTAGAAAAACACCAGTTGGTTTTCGCACGGGGTTGTACGCACGGCAAAGCAATGCAAAGCAACGCCGAGCAATGCTAAGCACAGCGTAGCAATGCGAAGCAAGGCAAAGCAATGCAAAGCAAGCAACGAAGAGCAATGTAAAGCAAGGCAGTGGCAAAGGAGGACAATGCTGAACATAGCGTAACACTGCGAAGCAAGGCAAAGCAACGCAAAGCAACGCAACGCAAAGGAATGCAACGCAAAGCAACTCAAAGCCAGACAAGGCAATGCAATGCTTTGAGTTGCAATGCAAAGCAATGCAGAGCAACGAAGAATCACCATAAACAAAACAACACAAAAAAAACCAAAAAAAAAAAAAAAAGGAAACAAAAGAAGAATAACCCAACGACACAAAGGACCCCAAACAAAAAAGACCACAAAAAACCAAGCAACAACAAAAACAAGAAAAAAAACAAAATAAAGAAATAACAACAAAAAAACAAAAAAAAACACCCAAAAAAACGAAAAACAAAAAGAACAAATAAAAAGAGCAAAAAAGCGCACAAAAAAAAACCGACAAAACGAAAAACACAAAAGAAACAAAAAAAAAAACAAAAAAAAAAACACAAAAAAAAAAAACAAAAATAAAAAGCAACGCAACGCGACGGCGACCGGCGAAGCAACGACGACGGGCGGCGACAAGGAGGCGACGGGCGGCGACGGCCGGCACGGAGCCGCCAGACCGACACTCAGGCCCAGTTCTTTAGACAGACGAGAAGTGAGTACCCCTAAGTGCAAGCACTGTTTGGGAAACTATGGGACTACAACTTGCTGGATTAAAAAGTGCGGATCCCATTAAGACTTCGACGCGCCCAGACCCTCTTACGCGCAGATCCAGTCATCACTGAGCGGCATGGCCTGACTCACTCCTATGCGTACTTGCTCGCGCGCAGCCTGATGGATGCGCAGCCACTCATATCAAAACTGCATCACGCAAGAACTCTGACACCCCCACATCCACTCGCGCATAGGCCCGTTACTACTCAGCCGCTGAGCGTTACCGCATTTGCTCGCGCGCACGCGCCTTCTCCATGTTCAGACCCCTGAAGTTCGTTTGCGTTCAGACGCACGCTCAATCTGATACCCTCCCCCAAGCTCGTTCACACCCAAACCCAAGCACACCCAGGCTCACTCATATCCAGACTCGTTCGCGTGCAGACCCAACCCACTCTCGGCCCGCTCTGAGGCCCTCTCGCGCTGAGTCACTCGGACTCCCCCCGGGGTGGGAACCGCCGAGGGCGCGCACGGACCCCCACGGGGACCTCCAACCACTGGGGACCCCGCCGCCTGGCCTTGCCGCTGAGGCCGTGGCGCAGGTGATCCCGAGTTGCTGAAGGCCTCATGAGGGGTCTTGACGCGCCCTCGGCGGCTGCTCGCTGGAAGGATAAACAAAAAAAAAAAAAAAAACAATATGTGCTTCGCCGCGCAGGTGAGCTTACTGTGGGGAAGGCGCACCGCTGACAGCGACGCGGGGAACGAAGATCCGAAACCAGGAGCGAGGAACCACGATCCTCGTTCTATTCTCGACCCTGGACCCTCGAACCTGGAACCTCGAAATGCACACCCTGGAGTATCGAAAACCACGAGTCGGTTGAGGATCCAAGATCCGGATGTTCCATCCCTCGATCGACCCCCGACCGTGGATGTCGACTTCCGTTCGCCCCCGACCCCGCGGCCCTCGATCGATCCTGGATGGGCACCGCGGCCCCAACGCCGCCTGGCGATGGCCTCCCCGGAACCCGAGGAACCGGAAGAGCAGCCACCTCCGTGCACGACCGCCGGGGCCAGGTTCAGGCGGGCTGGGCGAGGCGGCGACAGCCTGCGGAATCCAGCTTTATCTTGACAGGGTGCAGGGAGATGCCCATCGGATGTCAGACGGCAGAGATGGACAAAAGCGGGCGGGCTGGGAGGAGGGAGTCCGCAGCTTCGGCGCGCTGGTGCACGCGGGAACTGGCCCGAACTGCGCGGCACCTGAACTCTCTGGCGACATCAGACAGGGCGATACATGTGGCTGCGAGGCAGTCCCCAGCGAAATCGCCACGTTCTGGTCACATGCATCGGGTCCACAGACATGGCTGCCAGGATGCCCCAAGCGAAATCATCATCATTCTCCGGTGGTTGGAAATGGAGCCGGAGAATTTGTCCGAGGAAGTCCTAAGCGAAATCGCCTTTCCCCGGTTGCCAGAGAAATTATCCGCTGCTCCGAAAAGCAACTGGAGAGTTTTTGTTGAGGAAGGATTGGGCGGAATCACGATTGTCTGGTCCTCACCCCATTCGGCGATTTTAATATGAAAGGCGAGGATGGAGGAACCGGAGAAGCGCGATACCGCCCAATACTTTCTCAAAAGCACTCTCCGGTCGCCTTCCTGAGCGTCCAGAAAACCCCTGGGCTGGCCTCTGCAACATTGTACCAGGGCCCCGGGGCCTAACGGGATCATAGTGGCACATCTTTCGCGACCTCTCCCGTCCACACTTTTGATTCCAGCGAGTTGTAGCTTGTGCAAGTCCAGTAGGAGCGTGAGAGCCGACGTCATCAGCACCAACGCTGGGAGTAGTTCGTGCGAGAACGCGAGGGGCGACATCATCAGCGACAGTGCTGGGAGTACTCCGTGCGAAACATGCGGGAGCGCGGGAGCCGACGTCATCGGCACCAACGCTGGAGGCTGTGCGGGCGACGGTGAGATGGAGTGCGAGAAGGGGCGAGCCCGCATGCGCAGCGACGACGCTGGAGTCCGCTCGTGGAAGAAATGCGAGAGGGTTCAAGCCAGCATCATCTCATCGGATGCACGGCTGGGAACACTTCGTGCGAGAAATGCGAGACGGCACAAGCCAACATCGTGCCCACAGTGCTGGGGTCCGCTCGGACGAGAAATGCGAGAAGGTTCGTGCGGCAGGTGCGAGAAGGAGCGATCAGCGCACTGCCTTGGAAAAGGCAGAAGCGCCAGCGGTGACGCCCGACGCCTGAAGCTACAGCGCTGGGAGCAGATGCCACTGCGTGCGAGCTGGGCAACGTCAGCTTCAGCACGGGAGCCTGCAAGCTGAACATCTTCGTCCAGGACGTGTCTGGAGCTGGGCGTCGGCTGCGTTCGCCCCGTTCAGCATCGCCCCTTGCTCATGGGACCCTCGGGCTGCAAACTCCAGTGGGCTCCTCATCCTCCGACTCGCCCCTCGATCTCCTGCTCTCCCCCCCCCCTCCCCCCGCCCCCCCCTCGTCTGGGGGGGCAGGAGCAGTGTCGGTGGCACGCCGCCGTGGGAGGCCCATCCGCGTGCCACCGCCGAAGGAGACCCCGCGTCCTCGGACGGACAACGCCGACCACGGCGGCGGCGCGCCATCGACACCCTGCCTCCGTCCCGACGCTCCTCCCCCTCTCCCCTCGTTGCCGGGACCTCCCGCCCGCTCTCGAGGCTCCCCCCTCTCGTCGCTGTGCCCACCCCCCTCCCGATGCTCCGTGCTCCTCTCCTTTCCACCCCCCCTGCCCCCCCCCTCCCCGACCCCCGTCGCGATCTCTTCGCAGCGTCGAACCCCAGAGGTCTGTAATTCCCCCTTCACGGGAACCGGTGTGTCATCCTCAGTCGTTTTTGGGGAAGGTCCCGAGGCCAGAGGAAGGGCCCCCGGAGGCCGAAGACAGCGAAACACCTCCCGTCGCATTCCACAACGCGAGGAGGTCTGGTGACCCCCTCCTCCCTCCCCCCTCGTCGCCAGAGCCTGCGATTCTCCGCCGGCTCCAGATCCGCCCTGCGCAGGTGCTGCTCGAAGAACTTCTTGTCCTCACGGCGCCCCGGCCCGCCGACGAGCAGGCGGTCTGGCCCGAAACGCCGCCCGCCCCCGCCCGGCCGCGCCGATCGCCGACGTCGTCGGACCTCAGGCCTCTCCGAACGCACCGCCGACCGCCGAACTCGTCCCTGGGACGGGCCCTTCTGCCGGCGGCGGCACCGATGTGCCCTCCCACGTCGGCATCGGAACCAGCCGAATGCCCCACGTCTCGGAGACGGGCCTGGCTGGGGGTGACACGGGGGCAGCACGGCCTTCCCTGATTACCCACCAGACCGCCCCAACCCAACCCGAAGACCCGAATGTCGGCTTGGGGGGGGTACGGGCAGCACATGCGCTTCTCACTGTTCTCCGCCGCCCCCCCTGGAAATGGAGGGCACATCGGAGTCTTCGGGTTGGGTTGGCGTGGTCCGGTGGACCGTCAGAACCATTCCCTCTTGGCGTCGCGGCCAAGCGCGCAGCGGCGCGGCGGAGGAGGAGGAGGAGATGGGGGGAGGAGGAGGGGGAGGCGGAGGAGGCGGAGGAGGAGGAGGAGGAGGAGGGGAGGAGGAGGAGGAGGAGGGTGCCGAAGGAGCGCTCAGAAGTGCCGCGGAGAGGCCACGGGAGCGGCGGGGGGCTCCCGCAGCCCAGCGAAGCGCGCCGGGGCGAGCGGGAGCCGCGCCGTGCGGGCGCCCCCCGGGGGGGGCAACTAGAGCCGAATGGGGGGGCGAGCGCGAGCTGTGCCGCCACACGGCCGAGCTCCGCGACCGACCTCGTCGCGCCCCGCCGCCCGAGGCGTCGGGCCGCCACCCCGGGCGGGCCGCCTCCTCCTCCTCCTCCTCGTCCTCCTCCTCCTCCGCCTGCTCCTCCTCCTCCTCCTCCTCCTCCTCCTCCTCCTCATCATCCTCCTCCTCCTCCTCTTCTTATTATTACTATTAATAATATTATTATGAAGATTATCATTATTATTACTACTATTAGTATTCAAGTTCTTATTATCATAATGTTTATTGTTATTCTTCTCCGTATGATTAGTATTATTAGTAGTATTATGCTTATTTCTACTAATAATATTATTACTACTAATATTCTTAGCATTCTTATTATTCTTAATACTTGTATTATGAATACTCTTATTATTATTATTATTGTTATTATTATTGCTATTATTATTATTCCTCCTCCTCCTCCTCTTCCTCCTCCTCCTCCCCTCCCTTCTCCTCCTCCTCCTCCTCCTCCTCCTCCTCCTCCTCCTCGGGCCCCCGTGCCAATTATGTGATATACTCCTCGGGGGGCGTATCGCCTGGGGACGCACGGAGCGCCACTAAGGTCGTGGGTCATCCAGTTCCGATGAGCACCCCAGGCGAGCCTCCCGTGGAGCGAACAGAGGGGCGACAGTGGCATGGGGGCCTGCGTGCAGGCCCTCACTGCACGTGCAGGCCCCCATTGCACCGCCGCTGGGTCTTCTTGAGACCCTCCGCAAGGTGCGAGCTGGGATGCCCGTGCCTGTCGATGCACAGGCGGCGGCATCCATTTTCAAGCTCGTCATTGGCCTGCTTAGGTGGCCCCGAGTCGGTCACGCTGCCGCTGCAGGCGCGGCACCCCGCGCCAACAAGGCGTGATTTCTTAGAAGGCTGCGTTCCGACCTCTCGACACAACCAAAAGTTAATTGGTCGGGCAAGCGGGTGGCGTCAAGTTAGCTCCGGCTAGCGCGCCACTGGTTGTTGCTGGCCCGCTTCAGTGGCCGCTCGACAGCCCCACTGCCACTGCGAGCACGGCAGCCCTCGACTTCGTCGGTCTCATGTAGACGCCGCGCCGACTTGGGTGCCCACCCCTGTCGATGGGCAGGAGTGGGCACCCGTTGTTCGTGCCGTATTCTGGGGTACCCAACCTTGTCGGTGCACAGGCATGGGCAATCCCTCCCTCGTACATGAGGGTTACTTGGTATACGCACGCTATGGGTCGCCCCTAGGGCCGCGCAGCGGCCAAACTGCTGGTGTGGTTGCGCCAGCCTTCGCCATTGACGATGTCAGCAAGGTGCCGTTTTGATATGGATGCCGCCCCTGTCGATGGACAGGAGTTCGCATCTAAACTCAGGCCTAACGCTAGGATGCCCATCCCTGTCGGTGGACAGACATAGGCACCCGACCCTCGCAACGAGGGCTTGCTTGGCATACGAGAACTGCGACCCGCTCCCATGGCCGTGGAACGGCCTTTCGCGGTTACGCGCAATGCAGCCTTAGACATAGAAGGTGGCCAATTGGCGTCGTATCGGGTTGGGTTCCCATCCCTGTCAATGGGCAGGCATGGGCATCCGCCCATCGAGCCTCAAAACTAGGATGCCCATCCCTGTCGATGGACAGTTCTGCTAGGCATATGAAAGCCACGGCTCGCGTAATGGCCGCAAAAAAACAATGTTGCCATAGCGAGCGCAGCAGCCTCCGGCACCGGGGGTGTCAAATAGGAGCCGTTCCGGTCTGGATGCTCACCCCTATCGATGGACAGGTGTTGGAATCCACACATCGTGCCTCAAGCTAGGATGCCAGCCCAACAGGCGCAGGCCTAAGACCGCTTTGGCGGCACCATCCCCAGCCTCAACAAACCATTTCCTTCCTCTCCAACCCCACCCCCCCATGGACGAGTTAGGAGGAGGAAGAGGAGTCTCACATGCCGCGTTCTGACAGAGCGATGCTTTGGCCTCTGTGCCAAGACCTGACAGAGGGGTGATGGTGGAAGGATGCGCAAATCCCAGCGGTGCTCGGCTGGGCGTGGGTCGCAAGATGGTGCCTGCGCACTGTCAAGGCTCTCGACCCCACCCCGAGGAGCTGAGGAGCCTTCCAACCCCTCCCTCCTCCCCATCCAAACCCCCCCCCATGAACGTGGTGGAGGAGGGAGAGGAGTCTCACATCCCGCGTTCTGACAGAGCGAGGTTTTGGCCTCGGTGCCAAGACCTGACAGAGGGGTGATGTTTCAAAGCTGTGCAAATCCCAGCGGTGCTCGGCTGGGCGTGGGGTCGCAAGACGGCGCCTGCGCACTGTCTGTCATGGCTCTCGACCCCATCCCAAGGAGCTGAGGAGCCTTCCAACCCCTCCCTCCTCCCCAGCACCCTCTTAAGAGCCACTCAGGATTTGGTTTGGTCACAGGCGAGGGCGCAGCCCATGGCCGCCGACCGCAGCAGACTGGGGAGGGACAGGCGGTCATGGGCCCTGAATGGGCGCGGACCTTGTCCACGGGCGCCAGATTGGGCACGGGCCCAAAAACTGGTGCCGCGTGCTTCGGCCGCGGGCAAGAGCTCAAACTCGGGTCTCGCGGAGTTGCACGGGCCAGGCTGCAGCCACGAGTTCAGGCGTTAGCACATCGGCGGGGGTCAAGGGCCCCGGCGGGGGTGTTTATTGCTTGGGCGCGGGCCCATTCGGCATTTGGGGACCCGCAAACGTGGCCACTGGACACTTTTGTGTTATTGTAATTCAGCGGCGAGGGTTCTGACCCCGGCCGCGTGCGTAGCGTGCACTGGTGAGGGCTTGGCCCCTCGAAGGCAGGGTCGCCGTGGGAAGGTCATGGCTCGCGCAATGGCCGCGAAAAAGGCCATGCTACGATAGCGACCGCTGCAGCCTTTGGCACTGGCGGTGTCAAATAGGATCTGGATGCCAACCCCTGTCGATGGACAGGTGTTGGTCTCCAACCCAGGGCCGAAAGCTAGGCTGCCCGCCCCTGTCAATGGACAGGCATGGGCATCCCATTTCTTCACCTACGGCACTGACGGTGCCATGATACCAGAGAAAAACCCAATCAGAGTTTGTTTGACTTTGCATGCAATCCCTTTGTAATTGTTCCTTGGGTTTATGAAGTCTGCGAGGGCTATGAAGTCTGCGAGGGCTATAGGGCTATAAGGCTATAGGGCTATAGGGCTGTAGGGCTGTAGGGCTATAGGGCTATTGGGCTATTGGGCTATAGGGTTATAGGGCTATTAGGGCTACTAATGGCTATTAGGGCTATAAAGCTATGGGGCCATGGTGCTATAGGTCTATAGGTCTGTAGGGCTATAGAGCTATAGATAGGGCTATAGGACTATAGGGCTATAGGGCTATAGCACTATGGGGCGATCGAGCAAACAGGGCATCTCCGGGCACCTCCGAGCACCCCTGGGCACCCGGGCACCCGGGCACCCAGGCACCCGGGCACCCGGGCCCCGCCACCGAAATCGGCGACGCAGGTCACCTACACATGAGAAAACGATCCCCAATGAGGCAGCTCTCATTCGGGAACTACTACGACTACGACGACAACTACTACGACCACGACTACGACTACGATTACGACTACGACTACGACTACGACTACGACTACTACTACTACTACTACTACTACTACTACTACTACTACTACTACTACTACTACTACTACTACTACTACTATTACTACTATTACGACGACGACGACGACGACGACTACCACTACTACTACTACTACTACTACTACTACTACTACTACTACTCCTACTACTACTACTACTACTACTACTACTACTACTACTACTACTACTACTACTACTACTACTACTACTACTACTACTCTCCTACTACTAACAAGTGTAACGGAAATGCGGATGCGACAACTACTGCTGCAAAAACCTCTACCACTACCACTAACTACTACTATACTACTACTACTACTACTACTACTACGACTGCGACTACGCTACGACTACGACTAACGACTACTACTACTACTACTACTACTACTACGACTACTACTACTACTACTACTACTACTACTACTACTACGACTACTACTACTACTACTACAATTACTACAACAACTACTACTACTACTAATACTACTACTACTACTACTACGACAGTTACTGCTACGACTACGACAACTACTACTACAGCTACTGCTGCTACTACTACTACTACGACTACTACTACTACTACTACTACTACGACTAGTGCTACTACTACTACTACGACTACGACTACTATTACTATTACTACTACTACGACTACTACTACTA